CTGGGTCAAGCTGGAAATGAGAATATAATCTGTTGACAAGGAAACCAGCAATTATTCATTTCTGTTGCAGGATGAAAGTTTGCTCAAAAAATAATAAAAAACATCTTCTCTTGGTTTAAGTGTAAATAAGGCGCTGGAGAGCTACTGTACCAAATATGCTGCCATAAAATCAGTAAAGCTTCTTCTATACCAGAATTATAAAGGATTTCATAGCACAGAGAAAAGATGGGGTGGATGAAGTATTTCCAAAGTATGCAATAATGACTTGCAGTGATGAAAAAAACCACGCATTTAGGCTATTTGAGGCTGATGGGAATTTTGTGGGCTCTAGAGTGGACTTAATCAGAAGGTATCATTTGACAGTGAAAGCCTGGAGCCAATTCCAGGCTAAGTATTTCTCCCCGGAATGCATTGGCTGAGAGCAATAGTTAAGAAAGCATTAGATAACAGAATGGTGAGAGATATTTGAAATGAGTTGCCTGGCTGTGTTCATTGGAAGGAACCAGCAGCAACACACACAACTACAAATTACAGTGGCAACAATGCCTCCAGCACGTCGACCTGTTTTAGCAGAGCAGTTCTGGGAGCAGAAGCCCCTCCGGAAGTCTGGAAAATCTTTAAGTATCTGATGCATTTGAATCCTACAAATTCACTGGGGACAAACTCAAGCCTGTGATATCAGGGGGGAAGCCTCCACGAATGCTCGTGCCACCGTATGACATCCTGTCAGTGGGCGCGCGCAGCGGGAGCTGTGGAATCTCAGTTCTGCGCTCATTCACAGCCCGGGGAGAAATATTGTCACCTCTCTGCCTCTTGGGTTGCAGAAGCAGCTGGGAAGCAGAGCAGTCCCCTGACATATGGTGGAGCAACCTCTCCTTCTTAGGCAGGTTTTTTAACTTGTGCTGTGCTGATAAGGCTCTTTATAGAACGACCCCGTGCTCGAATAACTGCATATCGCAGGGTCCTGTGTCTTCACTTCTGCCTTCCCTCATTTGCCTGACATACTCTTCTCCACCAGAAGCAAGAGAAAGGGCTGGACTGTCCTGCTGGCCCCCTGCCACGGGTAAAATAAAGCCTTTCTTTTCTCTGTCACTGCTGGGATGACATGCAGGAACCAGAGCAGAAATCAGAAACCAAAGGCATTAGCACATACATCTCCAGCTCTGCCTGGAGCCTTACTTCCCTCACAGTATTCCCAGCCTCTGTCGTTCTCCCACTGCTGACTTCAGATAAAAGGGGGAAAGACTTACAGATCTCTTCTCAAAAGTAACATTGGATCACACTCATGTAACCCCTACTACTAAATCTGCAGGAGACCCCAAAGATACCCCAAAGGAAGCAGAAACTCAGAAAATCTTCAAAGTTTCCGTGCTGTTTTCCCCTTTCTGCAACGACTTACACAACTAAAGCTTTCGCTGTTATATTGTGAAGATATCCTATGACTGAGAAAACGTCTCTCCATCCCAAACACATCTACTTCATCACATTTTGACCCTCACTCAGTCTTGAGTGACACACCCATGTAATTTTTCCTTTGATCTCCACCATAAGGTAGCCTGCCATGACCACCTTCCACTCATGAGTGGCTTCATGCCCTGTTTCTAACCATTTTATTATGGCCACCTTCCTTAGTTTCCTTTCAGTTGGTTCCAATGATGTAACCTAATACATATTATATTCTTCCAAAACACATTCACTTCAGCTTCACTGTTACAGAAAGCTGAACTTTCTGTTCT